AACCTTTTCTTTGGCAGAACTAGTTACATAGAAAAGAATGGAAGTAAAATAAATACAAGTGTGTGTGCAAGATTTAAGTTCGGCCAACTGGGTTTACTTGAGGGAAAGTCAACATGCCATATTGGCAGTTTAATTTAAGAGGACTTATTTGAACACTTGAATGTCATTGTACGTATATAGGGGTATTTTAACTAGAGGTCAACATCGCATCTGACCTGTAAGGCTGGTGAACAAACTTACCTAGATATGTACAACAAAGTTTGGCATTAATGTTTTTATTTTAAAGGTTTCATCAGGATGTGAAGTTCTTAATAAATTCCATTGTTATGATACACCTGATGTAATTTGTGATGAAATGTTTTAAACACATGTGTGGGTACATGTGTCCAATAGTAGCAGAGTAGTATTATAGAAGACTGGTAAGATAAGATCTATGTCAGTAAAGTAAAACAAATAGAAATACATAAACATACCGAGTTAAATTTTAGAAATTTTAATTAATATTTGTCTTAAGATGTTTAAAAATATTTCCACAACTTGTGTTTAAGCTTCTGGTTTAAAGATTAAAAACCTTTTTTTTTTAGTATAATGTATATTGTGGTAGTTGATTGATATTGTAATACATAAATTAGACAAAAATTATTGACACCATGACCTCCATTATATATCCCGGCATTGTGAGTCTTTGATCCTGGCCAGCGTAAGGTGTTGTAGTGGTGGAAAGCGTTAATAATACTGATTATGGTCCTTTGATCCCAACACGTCCTTTGTAAACAACCCTGACACCTGGGTCATTCAGGTGTACATTGACATATATTGTGATTTTCAAAAATAAATTTTGAAAACATTTTAATGAAAAAAAAATTGTTTATGTAGCTTAGTAAAGCATGAAATGCTCCACTGGATCCAAATGTTTTATTCATTTTTCATTTGTACAATTGACGGTTTTCTACAGATATGGCCATTTTAAACTTGTGCGAGATTGACGGGACTACAACTTGTGTATAACCAGCTCTGTGTTGAACATGAGATGAAGTGAACGATACATTCTATTTGATGTACATTGCAAGATATATATGAAAGGGCTCAAAGTCTGCTACTGCCTCGATGGAGGCACAATCCCAGTGTAATGAAAAACCAATCGACTGCACATGACTAAGACCCTTATTGATACCGAGATTGAGATTTAATGAAATTCCAAAGATTCATCGTGATGCCGTTTCTGTTGTCATGGTTACTGAGATATATATTTCCCAGATGAGCAGTAGAGTTTCATGCTAATTTAAGTGTTTATATGTCGTTTGAAAATTCATACCAATGTTTGTCTTTTATTGTTATCTGGTCTGTAGTTATTTATTTATTGCATGTATTTTTTTCTGCTAATGCGAGCATCATTTTATCATTTAGGAAGGGAAATGTATATGCATTGGTAGTGGTTTAAGATTGATATATGATTGTATATCGTTTGATAATATTGTTAATATTTTATAAAGGTATATATTCTGCGTTATGTTTGGAGTCTTAAGTGAGACCACAGATAGTCTATATGATCGTATTTTAGATAACTGATGTGTACAATTGTTCATGTATACTTTTTGTGTAACTCGGTAAATTAACCATTTAAAATTAGGGTTTGTTTCCATCATAATCTCAATATCACAGCAAAATAATCTATCAATGTCAAAAATATTTTCTCCTTTTTGTCATTGTTTCAATAGAAACAAGATGATTGCATCATCATTGTACTGTATGTACATGTAACAAGATATCGCCAAGTGCTTTTGTTATATCCATTGAAAATATATTTATTAAAAAAATATATAAATGAAATCTTTTAAGAACCAAAATGAGAGTCCTGGTAAGCTGACAATGATACATACCTGTTTGTATGTGGTAGCCAAGCAGACATGAGTTTGGGTACAAACACATACTGGAGACTTAATGTCACCTGTCTATCTATTAGAACAATGACACTAGTACATACTTTCTTTCTTTTGTTCTTTATGTTTTGTTGGAAGCCAAGAAAATGTTGATCTGATCCAGATCTAGACATCACTGTAGTTCTGTGTGTGGCTTGGATAGCAACATACCAATATATATATGTATCACAAACTACTTTAGGCTTGTAGATGAGAGAAGGGTAATGTAGGGTGTGATTTGCTTTACAAAAATAGATGATTTCAATGAAGTTTTCCTTTTTTTAGAAAAAAAACTTGGCAAATTTACCATTGTTTAAAGATATTGAAAGAGATCAATTTTTTACTCTGTATTTTATAACTGTTCTTAAAATTTTATTTGACTGGTGGTTGTAATTGTTGATAATGAAGTTTTATCAAAATTGTAACGATTTATCTCATTGTACAAACCTTATTTCTCACTCTTGGCTCTTGTCATTTTATGCTGCGGCAAGTTGAATTGATGAGGTTGCTATAGTTGATCAGCATCAAGATGCATCAAGACGTTTTGCCTTAAAGGATTACAGGACATATTCTGGCTTTTCAACCTTAAGATAAATTACGAAATGAATTTAAAAGTAATTAAGTTATCAGTGATCAATCTACAAGTAATCTGGAGTCCTGTGCTCATGGAAGTTTGATGGAACTCATAGAATTGTTGAAAATATTAAATTATACATTGTAGGACCCATTTTTTTAGCAATAAAGTTGAAAAAGACCCATGAAAATAAGTTATAGTTTGATTGTTTTATTATTGAAATGAGTGGTTTTGTCATCTGTGTGAATTTCAGGCCAAGGGAGCCTTTGGGGTGGGGTATTGATGTTAGGTTCAGATCAAAGGCTAAGGGTGTATGAAATGTGCAGGATGGTCAAGTCTAAGCCTAGTCACAGGTTGTACATGGACTTTAGTTATAAAGAGTGCTTAACAGAGCGGCTCCTGTCGGTAGTGGGCTGTTACTACATATTATGTATGGTCAGTGACTACCTTAGCATTGATGGTTGTTTAAAAACCTTCAGTTGCAAGCAAATGTTGATAAATTTTTTTAATTCTAGATTACGATGTTGATCGAATTACAATTTCTCTGTACCCGAGAGGCTACAAAAAAAGCTATTACAAGGCAGGGCTTTGTAAATGTTACCAGTAGAATAGTTAGTAGGTAACCTTACCCATGTAACAGCCCAGTACTGGCATCTGTGGGACAGGGCTTACCTTGTCCTCAGTCTGGTTAACTTTGGGTCAGGTGTTCACCTGTTTTTTACTTGTAGTTTTTTTCTAAATGTGTAATGAATTCTGAATTTTCCTCATTTTGAATTTGAATGTTAATATTATATTTATGTATGTTTTGTAAATAGAGGTTTTCTGTTTTAAATTTCTTCCTAACAATTTCTGAGTGTATGCTTTTGTGGAATTTTACAAGCTGCTAGGGCATTGCCTGCTCTAGGTAAGGAGGTTTTACCTGGGACACAGGTGATTGTTACCTCTTCAATTTATGGCCCTCACAGCTTAATGTTAGCTTTTATGTACTTTAATCCAACATGGCGTCGAAGCCCAATACCTACCTGATCCTCACGATTCATTTCAAATTGTAGGGTGTTGTATGGGCCAGTGTCCTGGATGAAAGAGTGCTGTAGATTTATGGATAAATCTGATATCTCTACTAAAGGGAATTAATCTTTTTAACTTTCTGAAGAAAAAAAAAGTACACTGGTTAGAATGATCCATTGGATAAGTTCTCATATCCATGCAAGATGGAAAATTTTTGATGTAGAAACCAGAGAGGTACTACATGAATGAGAATTAAAGATGACATTGTTGCTACAGCACAGCAACTCATGCTAATGTGATATATTATAGAAAATTCTATTGAAATTTATGTCTATTACTTAATAAGTTAGTTTTGTGTTGGCATGTATTGTGCGAGTTTATAGCTTTTTGTCACAATTTTTGATACGTTGGCACCTGTAGTGACTTATAAATGCCATTGATACAACCTAAATTAAATAATTTTGCATAAAATGGCAGAACCAAATTGAATTGTGGTTCTAATTGTTTTATTAAATGTAATAAAACAATTCCACCGAATAACAATAAACTTAGATGAGAATACATTTATGAATGTATTGAACAAACATGTTTTTTGTAGTTTTTAAAATACTTTGACTAGAGCTATTCTCATCAATTCAAAACTTTAGTTTGTAATAAGTTTTGAAAAAAAATGATAGTAACAAAGAAATTGTATGTATGGCATATTAACAGATGTTGTCATGCTTTTTTAGTGTGTCTGGAATATATGTACATTGAAGGATGAAGCTGTTTTTAATAAAAAATTGGTTTACAACATGTTTGAGGTAATTTTTTTACATACATGTGCAAATTGGTAGTTATCACTGATATCTAAACTAATATGAATATTTTAAGTTTTCCCTCACAGAAGAACATCAAAGTTTTAAAATTTAAACTTCTGTGTCATCACAGCCAACGTAATTGCATTCTTGTTCATAATATGTACAGCTGGCATCAACTGGTGAATGGGATTAGACGTGTGGAAATGACACTCATCCTGTTACACTGATAGCCTTAACTTACAGCAAAAAATTACCTGTATAATATATTAACACATTTTTTAAACCTAATTTTGATAAGGAGCAATGTTTAGAAAAAAATAGAAAGTCGGCAACCAAGAGAAGACCGTAGAATACATTATTGGCTTACCTGGCTTCAGCAGTTTGTGATCTTCTATTATTTTTTAGCTATTTATTGAATATGTTGGTAAATCTATAACAACTTGAAATACAGATTATTTTGTTCGAAATTTAGACACGGTAGATAAAAGATTGTGAAATATCTTGACATTGATACTTCTTGATTTATTTTGTTCAAATTGGCATATATGAGCACAACCCTTTCATTATTGTTATACCAAAAATCTGCAATTTGTAATCTTAAACACATTTAGAAGTATTATTTAATAGCTTATTGATTTAAAATTATTTTTAACATATTGTATGTGCTATGTTAATAAATTCATGTTTTTATCTTTTCAGAGACTTGAGTAACAACGAAATACGATTTTTAAATGAATCAGTTTTTCTACACCTTCCGGCTTTAAAACAACTGTAAGTTATATAAATGGTTGAATGCTATTGAGATCAGTTGAATTATGGGCATGTAGAAGAATAGCCTTCATACAGACTGTGTACAAAAAAGTTTATAAATATAGATTCTTTTGTTACTGTGTTGAAACTTGGAAGGTTTGTGAAAGGAGGTATTCAGTGTTTTTGATTGATCCCATGACAAGAACATGCAGTTGGTTTGAATGCTATGTAATATTAGATATTGTTTGCCCATATGTCCATATCACAGTGGTAGTTAACTGCTAATTGAAGTGTCAGAATGTCCCACCTGGTATGTGCTGTACAGTAAACAGGTAGATACTGGTGGTGACAAGCTTGTTGCGCCAAGATGACAGATTTATGTTTATCTAGATAAAAGCATCATGTATATATATATATATGCACCGTCCTGTAAATATTTCTGTACAGTTGCAAATATTGAGACAAATTTTATGTTGATAGAAATAAGATATTCAACTTTGTAAACAATTGTTAAGTCTCCATGGATTTAATATGATCCTTTTATGGTAAAATTTTTGAACATGATTAGCAATTAATATGTTCCTAAAATTTTGATGTGGTTTGCTTGTGTTCTCTTCTGTTTATTTATCCAGTTAAAGCACAATTACAATTGAAAATATAATTTCTTCTTTTGCAGAAAAATTAACCACAACAAACTGACAGAAGTCCCCATGTTGAAAGGCCTTTATTCCTTAACCACTCTGGAACTGTAAGTAGAAGTCCTTTGGTTTGAAATGATGAAATGCATATTTTTGCAGAATTTCTATGCTAATTAAGTTGTACTTCTTTGACTCTTGAATTTAAAATGTGTGCACAGCAGGGTTTGAATGTCTCTGAGTCTTGTTTGAAATGTATGAGTTTAATGATTAACATCAAAATGCAGGATTACTTGGATGGTAGTCGCAATCCATCAATTTCAAGTTTTCACTCTCTTCCCCAGAGGGTCAGGACAAGTTATAATAACCTTCTTACCATATTACTAGGGGAGATAACCACATGCCGACGGTTTAGTATAGGCTATGGCTGTCCTACATTGGATATGCTCTCAGTAAAACCTGCACTTAGATTAAAAATGAAATATTTAATTTGTGATATTCAAAGATTACCTGGTAATTTGAAATTGCTGAAAGGTTATCTTGTTATGTATGACTATGTTAAAAATAATGGTTTTAACCTGACTGATATATCAAGACTTCATGTGTGCATTTCATTCACTTTTCAAGAAAGGCTTGATTACAGTTATTTGTGTCTGATATCATGCTAAGATATTGTATTGTAAGAAGGAAGGATTTTTGTATACATATTTATATATATATTTTGTGTTCTTATTGACAGAAATCATAACCGTATTCATACTCTGGCCATGGAGTTTACCACTCATATGTCTCAGCTCAAAGTTCTGGAGCTTAGCCACAATCAGATCATGGACATTGTTCCGGGCGTTTTCCCTGTCAATAACACCTTACAAAAACTGTAAGTATCACCCACAAAAATGAAAATAAGATGAATGTTTATATATTTGTTATTGTTTCGAAAAGACTGAAGAAAAGCATTTAGCATTGAAGTTGTCTGAGCAGTAAGGAATGACATTAGATGTAGTACTTAGAACATTGGAGCACAAGGATGGATTTTAGCACCAGGAGTGGGTGGGGCATTGGGATGGATGGAGCACAAGGATGGATTTTAGCACCAGGATTGGGTGGGGCATAGGGATGGATGGAGCACAAGGTTGGATTTTAGCACCGGGATTTGGTGGGGCATTGGATAGATGAGGCAGTAAATAACAAACAGCATAATAGGTGCACTAGATAACCGATTCTAATTAAAATGCATTTGTCCCAATGAACTCCACATCATAAGTGAAAGTGCATGTTGTCATCGGCTTCATTTGTCACTGGATTAAAATATCATTTAATTTGTGTTGCACCATGAAGAAAACAACATAATTTGTTGTTAGTACCCCTAGCAAAACCATCCATCACACTGTAAACGAAAATATAGACCAGTCCAAGTGGAGCCATGGACCACCTAAAATTAATTGCCGACCTCTACATTAACTTTTTCTTGATTTGAAAAAAGTACAGTGATTATCATCACGTAAAACTTATGTTAGGGAAAGATGTGCCATATAAATATTCATTATTCATTCGATTTGCATGAAAGAGGTTCCCTGTATTCAAATTTTGTGTAATAATTGTTTCTGGTGTCATCCTGATAATATGGAACAAGTTATCACTTGAACTAGTCCATCACAGGACTCAGTATTGGAACATTTATGTTTCCGGTGGTGAGGTGATTGCCTCTTACACTTAAAATGTTGACATTGACTTCAGAATTTGATGTTGCTTTTAATTGTCTCGCCACTGAAATGTTGACAATAATATTAATGAAAGAGATCTGGTTTCAGAATTTTGTATACTGTTTACAAAATTTAAAGATCATATGTTAAAAAAAAGGCCTGGATTGTAATGAATGTTGTGACTTAACGGGTAGGGTACTATCGTGGCTTTGTAATACATATGTACAAAACAGGTCTCATTAGTTTGTGTTAACAAAGGCAACCATGTGCCAGCCGCGGCCAAAGTTGCACATTTTTGGAACAATTACAAGTACTCCACGACCAGGTGCATGTGTTTTTGTTACCATCCTTTAATGATACATACACACTGGAAATGATACTTACGGAAGGTACAACTAGCTAGGAGTGTTTCAACACTGGGGGGATAATAGAGGAATAATGTGTTCCGCCCAGGACTCGAACAGGTGTACACATGTAGTTGTGTTTTAGCTGGATGCTTTGAATCTCTAATCAGATCCTTGATGACTCTGATATCCTGGCTTATCCAACAGAACACAGTGGTCTCATTAAGATGTACCAAACCTGTACATTTTCATTTTCTGTCTTATTTGGTATTATGTTTTAGTGTTCCATATGGCACGTGATAAATGTATACATTTGATAAAAAATAACATCCTTTTAATATGATAGAGATTTTGAAATGTAGTTTACAATATCTTGACATGTATGGCTTCTTTATTTTGGTTTTGAGGTAGAGGAGTGGAGGTTGTCTTTTATTGAGCCTGAACACATACGTTTATGTTTTTTTGTAGACCAGAGCCCACCACAAATCTGTTAACAATTATATAGATCCTTTCGCCATATTTTATCAATTATTCACATATAGCCCTTTTCCCATTCCCTGCAGTCCTGTCTAAAATAATGCTCAAATAAACAATAGTCTCCTAACTCTTCAACTTTGTATTAACTTCTGCTGGAATAAAATTTAATTTCTGCTGAAATGTTTTTTTTTCCTAGAATTAATCATTTTTTTCAACGTATGATGCCCTATATCTGATCTTGTCCTATGGACCTGTTTCTGCTGTAAGAGTTTGTGATTTCCCACCAAATAGTAATGTGCATACATCTATTTGTAAACTTAGTACTTTATAGTTGAAAAATACACAATATGCTATCGCTACCTCAGCTGGTTAGGGTCGATATGAGAACAGATTTTAAATGCCTTTTGACATGGATGGATGGTTTTGATATGAAAAGTTAAACGATTGTTCAAAATCTTTTTTAAAAAGAAATGTTATCTGTAGTTTGATCCCTGAAATTTGTGGGGTCGCAGCTTTCCTTGTATTCCATTCGTGTCAGAACAATACAGAAGCATGTATCCAGAAAATCATGGCTTATTGTGTAGTGAGGTATCTGGTAGGACAGCTTGGTAGAGAGACACCAGGTAGGCACTTTAGTGCGTGTCTCACATATAGGTAACAGGATCACTCGGGACACAACTGTTTTGCCAGGCCATGGAGTCAAACGCTAGCTCAAATTAAGAAACCTGATATACACTATCTGCTAAAAGAAACATTTTCTTTCTCCACCGGTCCTGCCTGACTGCACGCGGCCCCCAGATACATAACAGTATCTTGTTCTTGAGAGTCAAAAGTTGCAAACCTCGTCTGAAAACAATTATTAAATGTGTTGCCAATATGTTGTTTTTGGTATCGAGGCCCGATAAAGTACCAAGTCATTGTGGGATCACTTTTAGCTTAAGTGAAAAAATGCAGAAATTTCCGCCTGTTCTAAAAAAATGAGGCTTGAATTGCCCATCGCTTTTATATCAGGGTAATAATAGACTTCTAGTATAGAACTTATATATGTAGGTCTTGATTCAGCAAAAAACAAAACAACTCATTTCTCTATTAATTGAAATATTTTAGATATGTCATTTAAGATAGAATTAACTTGTACCATGTTTTGAAATTGACTTAGTTGTATCAATTTTCCGACACTCAGCATACCTTTTTATGGGATATTAGACTGGCTGTGTGTTATAGGAGGGAGCTGATTGCTAAGAGTTAACCATTATCTTTTAGATAGAAGTAATTTTATCTTATAGTGGCCCAAGATGTTTGAAGAAGGAGCTTTATGTTTCATATAGCCATAGAAAATGATGGAGCTGTGTGTGTTGGTTGTGTATGGAGGGAACTTTAAATATTTTTGTTCTATGTATAGGAAGGGACTTTGGTATTTTGATTGTCCTGTAATTATTATTATTATGTAAAGAGCTGGCTGTGGACGTTAAGTGGTAACAACATGCACATGGTACAATTTCCCAAGTTGATGAGGATAGATGTAGGTGATGTAATGGTGGTGATTCGTGTTAGTGTGTGATGTTCCGTGCTAGCATTCCCAATAAAATGCACATAATGAAATTAACAAGATCAATTGTTGTATTTGGCAGTTTGAGATGTCTAGGAATGGGCACATTTTTCTCAATTTGGGTACTACATTAACTAGTTTCTATACCAAACTTCATCGTACAGAATTTTCTGCATGTAGTTATAATGATATGCTAGTATGAATTATGATATATTAAGAATTTGTGGGGAAAAAAATTGGGGCATTTGTAATAATCTTGGTGTGAGATGTAAGTTATCATGTAACATGCATATTTTCTTTTGTAAATGCCGCCAACACTTTGTGGCGCGTGTCTGAGGCTGGGAGCCTTATGTAATAAATTAGCCCGGGTTCTATGGAATGATTGTTAGATAATTATGCTTGTTTGATGTAGGTGTTTTTGATGGGTGTATATGTAACACATTTATGTTTTTGTGTTTTACAGAACACTCAATGGAAACGGTCTGGAAACATTTGAACCAGGATGTTTTGACAACTTAACATCATTAGAAGTGCTGAAGATGAATAAAAATAGAATCCGCATCCTGCCCAAGAATTTATTCAGTAAAATGATTAAACTGAAAACATTGTAAGTATTACCTTAAGAGCAAAAGATAAAGACAGATTTTAAGCTCATTTTAGAATTTAATCTAATTTTCAGTTTTGATAATTTATTTAGGAGAGGATGAAGGTGCTGATTTTAATCACTTGAATTTACAATTACTTAATTAATCAGTGGAATTGATTGATAGAAATTTTAAAGCTAGTTTTTTAAAATTTGTATAAATAAATAAAAAAAAAAAGTTCTGAACAGGAAAAATCTTGTTGGATATAACATACAGTACCTTATATCTGGTTATTTTTCTGTAAACCATTATTTTAACATGACTGAACAGTTGTGGCAAAATGTCCTAGCAGTTTAAAGTATATAGGACTGAACAGTTGTAGCAAAATATCCTAGCAGTTTAAAGTATATAGGACTGAACAGTTGTAGCAAAATGTCCTAGCAGTTTAAAGTATATAGGACTGAACAGTTGTAGCAAAATGTCCTAGCAGTGTCAAGTATATAGGACTGAACAGTTGTAGCAAAATGTCCTAGCGGTGTAAAGTATAGGACTGAACAGTTGTAGCAAAATATCCTAGCAGTGTAAAGTATATAGGACTGAACAGTTGTAGCAAAATGTCCTAGCGGTGTAAAGTATATAGGACTGAACAGTTGTAGCAAAATATCCTAGCAGTGTCAAGTATATAGGACTGAACAGTTGTAGCAAAATGTCCTAGCGGTGTAAAGTATATAGGACTGAACAGTTGTGGCAAAATATGCTAGCAGTTTATAGATTTCTACCAATTTGCCTGTGATTGTCTAATAAGAAATTATCGGTGTTCTAATAAGAAATTATCGGTGTCTCTAGAACCAGATTTGTAGATGTTAGAAATGCTCATGTTAGCAGTTATCATAAAACAAGAAAAAATCTTGTAAAAAATTTTACAGATGTGATCTCCATTAAAATTTTATTTATGGCTATTATGCTTTTGCATTTACATATGATATGAGTTAGAAGAAAAAGCACTAGGCGTATGACTGTCGCCAGCCATGAAGATATAATAGCTGTATGAAATAAGATTTCCGTTGGTCGTTTGATATAAAATATGTAAAGAAAGTTTCATATTTTGACACGCTGTTGCCTTGTTAGTATTCATTTGTATGAATATTTAAAACTTTTTGAAAATTCAAGCACTCTTCTTGTATATGTTTACTATTTAACAAATGGAACACTTATTCAAGTAATTTTCTTAAGTAGAATAATTGTTTGCAAATTTAATGTGTCTGTCAAACCAACTGTGGGTGATGAAAAGACTTGCTCATTCTAAAATGGTTTTAATATAGATTTTTGAAAATTTACATTTTATCTTATGTTAATTGGCTGCATTGTTTGTTGAAATTTATTAAGTACATGAGTGAAATCTTTAAAAAATGGTATCAAACCTGGTATAGGATAGATATTGCTGAAGTTGATAATATTTGATAAAAGAGTCTTAAAGTTTTAGTGTTTGTCGTATTGCAGGCCTTTGAGAATGACTCAAATTTATAATGACACAACTGGTAACAGATCATAAGGAGATTAATGTGAAATTCTTCATGTAACTTTAATCATCATAATTGAAATTATACAGATGCCTTGAGAAGCTGTAGCTGCAGCACATCTGACATAAAGCACATGTTGCTTAAGTTGGTAGTATAATTAGTACCTTGCCAGCACAGTCCCCCATGCATCATAAACACATTTCTATGAAATGAAATGTTTGTGCTAGCCCAAGATGGAAGGCCTAGATGGTGGGAGAAGTGGGCTATAGACAATGCTGATAAATCACAAGTAGTGGCTTGTCTGGCAAGCTCACTTTATTCCTATCTCTAGCTTTTCTTGGAAAATAGGTTTCACACAACAAATATCAGTCTTTAAACAACCATCTCACACAAAGTTCTGGTGATTTCTGCCTTTTTTCTGTGTAATTGCTGTAAGAAATATTCAATCCTGATACATACACCATGTCAGAATGTGGAGTCTGCAGATTCTGTGACAGTGTTTCTTCGATGGCGATCGAGCTAACCAGACTAGTGGCTCCCTCTGTTGCTGCAGCTTCCTATGCTGCACGATTGTCATTACAGCATTGTTACAAGACTGGAGAGGCTACCGGTTTTTTCTCCACAGCATTTTATTTAAACTTGTACCATGGAAAACACATTTAACTTAGATGACAGATAGCAATCAGTTCGGGATTTATGGCCCAGAGTTGTGTTTTTACATGCGATTAGGTTTTGAGATGCACAGGATTTTTCGATGATTTGAGGGAAATGACACATTTTGTTTGGATAATTATGAGTCTGGTGTATCGATTGCTTGCTCTGTGCCAACTGTAAATCGTTTTTTGAATGTGCACCAAATATCTTCATGGGAATATTATTTTCATATAATAGAGTTAATAAAAAGAAAGGATTTGTCGCTATGACTTATCTACACTTCATCTTTATGGAGAAATAACATACTAGTGTTGATGATTAATCACATCTCATTACTTTAAAACCATTTATACTTTGGTTAGGACATAGCCATCAGGATGAAGGGAAATCGCTGGGGAAAAATGTAGGGAATCGTTTTGGTCAGGAATGACAAGAGATTGTCATGGGATCATGTGATCATAAAAACATACAAGCACTTGTTGCATGGTCATGAGTACAAATTTGAGGGTTTGTTACATGATCTTGAGATCAAATTTAATGGCTTGTCCATGATTATGTTATGAAACAAATACAAGAGCTTGCCACATGAATATGTTATCATGAAACAAATACATGGACTTGTCACATGATTATGTTATCATGAAACAAATACAAGAGCTTGCCACATGATTATGTTATCATGAAACAAATACATGGACTTGTCACATGATTATGTTATCATGAAACAAATACAAGGACTTGTCACATGATTATGTTATCATGAAACAAATACAAGGACTTGTCACATGATTATGTTATCATGAAACAAATACATGGACTTGTCACATGATTATGTTATCATGAAACAAATACAAGGACTTGTCACATGATTATGTTATGAAACAAATACAAGGACTTGTCACATGATTATGTTATCATGAAACAAATACAAAGACTTGTCACATGATTATGTTATCATGAAACAAATACAAGGACTTGTCACATGAATATGTTATGAAACAAATACAAGGGCTTGTCACATGAATATGTTATGAAACAAATACAAGGGCTTGTCACATGAATATGTTATGAAACAAATACAAGGGCTTGTCACATGAATATGTTATGAAACAAATACAAGGACTTGTCACATGATTATGTTATCATGAAACAAATACAAGGACTTGTCACATGATTATGTTATCATGAAACAAATACAAAGACTTGTCACATGATGTCACAAATACAAGGACTTGTCACATGAATATGTTATGAAACAAATACAAGGGCTTGTCACATGAATATGTTATGAAACAAATACAAGGGCTTGTCACATGAATATGTTTTCATGAAACAAATACAAGGGCTTGTCACATTGTCATTGGTTCCATTGTAACATACAGTTGTATTAACCAAAATGTTTGATGTTTGGAGATATATAAAGATATTAATATTCTATTACGAATCTAAGTGGTAATTTTTTAATTGTATTTTTATCTTGTTTCACAGAGAAATTACCAAGAACCAGCTGCGGCAAATTGAAGGTCTTTTATTCCAACAGTTATCCAATTTACAAATTTTGAAGCTTCGAAAAAATCAGATATCTGTATTGATGGATGGAGCGTTTTATGGTCTTAAAAAGATACAGAGCTTGTAAGTATATCAACTCTTGTCAGCTTTTTTAGGTCATTCTTTTATATACAGTAATGAATATGTAATTAGCACAGTACATACTCATTTATTATTGTAAACATGTTCATTTGAGAAGCGAGAGAGTCCCTGAAAAAAAAAAAAGCGTTATAGTATTGATGTTGTGTATCAGATATGTTTTGATTTTAAAATCAGCAGCTGAAAAAATTCCAAAATCTTTTTACAGACAACTGGATCACAACAACATTTCTAATGTGACACAGAGCTGGCTTTATAGAATGGTATCTCTCAAACAACTGTAAGTATCTCTCACTGTATTGTTTTCCTTACTCTTCAGGCATGCCTTGATATTTTGGACCTTTAGTATCCTAGGTATAATACTCTGAGCAGACTTACAGAATTTACAGAACAGACTTATTTGGAACAGTAAATGCCCTTAGATATTAACAAGTTGTCATGATTACCCAAAACTGCACGAAAGTGTTAGGCTAGATAGAAATCTAGGTTGGAAAATGTGTACCCGGGTACCATCAATTCAGGTAAGCTGATGTTCATGCATTTTTCTCAGGTTTGATATTTCAATTACAACCAAAAGACAACAAATACTATACCCATACCCAACATTTCAAATTCAAACACGACTACACGAATGATTACATATTATATGGAAATATTTTCCGGAGCATTTTTACTCTTGTGAAGCTTGCAAATTTGTCATGGGTAGTGGCTTCTGGTTTCATGGAGACATTGAATGTAAAGAAAAGTATATAATATTGTCATTGGCAAAGCATAGCTCAATCTTGGATAATTTTACACCTCTCTTCTAATAAATTTTCCTCATTGTTTCAAGCCCTGTGTATTTTGAAATGTATTTGGAGTACTTAAGTACAGATTGAGTTTGAAATTTTGAGTACCAAGCACAGAAGTTGTGTAAAAATAGTAACTCTATTACATTTGATGTATATATAAAAAAGTGAAGATGTATGTCAACATTTCACCTAGACATTTCTTTGAATTCACTAGATATTTCCTCTCTTTGTACTTTTGGTTATATAAATGTTCTGGATTTGCATCAAATGAATTTTATAGAAAAAAGTCAGGATAGAAAAGAAATGCTGTGTAATGTGTGTTTTGTTAACGAAATTACATTAGAATCTTTTGCTTCTCTGTGGAGTCTGCAACCATCCACTAGGAAGAAATTCATAAACAGATAGAGTTTTCCTCTAGGCAGGTGTCCCTGTGATTCATGCTCATACATACATAATTTATTAAGTAATGCTTGTATGTAATTTATGGGCAAGTAAAAGACTGCGATACGCATTAAATTTCTTGAAAGAAAAAAAAATGTAAATGAGAAGGGAAATAATTAGTATTTACATGATACATTACAGGAGCAGTATCGCTGTTTTTGTGTCTGTTTAAATTGCTCAGCCTTAGAAAAATAAATTAACAATTGCAGTTCATTTGTTATAAGAGATTTTACGGCAGGTAAAAAAGGAAATGAAATGGTACTTTATATGTCTTATAAAGTAAGATCACCAGGCTCCCCACATGCATATACATGAATCGTCTACCCGGTGTAGGCTCCTTAGAAAACATTGGTGTTGTATTGTTGGGTAATAAGTAGATAGCCAAGTAGGTAATCTGGGAGACAGCAGGAGGCCCATCTGACCTAAACAGGGCAAGTAGAACTGACTCCACGGGACCTGGCATAAGTGTTTCCTACTTCTCGCCTCCGCTGATACTGGCATACTCCACAGAATTAATTTCTCGGCTCAAGTGTTATGCTGCAGAATTTTGTGTGAATAACTAGACTTAACACGTTATATAGATGGTTCTTATAGATTAAAAACTGGTGAGAAGAGTTCATTTCCAAACTACATGTATTTGAATTCAAGTTCTTTTTTATTTGGCCTTGAGGTGATGATGTTATATAACTATTTAGCCTCATGTCTTAGAAATTGATTTGAGAAATTGTTTGCGTTTTATTTTTGAAATACTTGTCAGTTATGAGATGTTGTGATATTATAAGTGTAAACACCTTTTACGAAAGGTATGGTGATTACTTTTTTTCAACACCGAGGAAATTAAGAAGAAAAAAAATCTTCTCATCTCGTTAAGATAATGCAGTGGGATAATTAATTTATGTCTAATGTCATGTTTAATTACATTTGGTTGCATCACATCCTGATAGGTTCAGTTCAAATATATATTTCATGAATAATTTTCAAATATTGGAAAGATCAATGTGGCTGCTGGTAAGGTTGAGTTCTTGACTTCCATTGAAAAGTAGTGATTGGTGATCATGTTAACTAAAATATGGTGATATCAGTTAAAAATCATAAATGAAGTTTGTCAAAGAGAAGGATCGCTTCTTTAAGGAATGAGATAGATGTAATAATGGAAACGATTCTTGGGAATCAAGGACAGTTTGGTCCAGTTTGCTAAGTTGTAATAAATCAAATAAATCTCAAGAAGATGGAATGTGTACTTGTAGGGCTAACAAGAGAATTGGAATATGATGAATGAGTGTAATCACTCATGTATAAACCCTTCAGTGATTCTCTCCTCCTCCTGATCGTGTTTTTGTACCATTTGATTGGCTACCAGTTGATACAATAGCTAGGATAGCCATGTTTACCAAGAATCTCCACAAAGTGGCATGTCATATATCTCAATCTGTCTCTCTACATCAGTTGCAGGCAGTCTTATTTGATTGGTGAAAATATCATTATTTCTTAGGGTCAAAACAGATGGATGAAAAAATGCAACTGTTCAAGATTCTGTTGAATATAGAAAAGCAACTCCAACCCCCTCTACCCCCCTATCTCCACCCCCACCCACACCCACCCACACCCACCCTCACCCCTTTTAAAAAAGAAAGATGAAATTAGAGAACAACTTTTCTGAAGAAACTTTTCCTCAAGCTTATGTTTATACAGGTTTTTTTTTGCTTTTTTTGTATGGTCTTCGTTACACATACATTTAATTTTATAAACTGGGCCAGGTATCTTATATATAGATTCTAATTATAGATAGATAAATAGATAACATGCAAACACCCTTTCTTATTCACATTTTAAAGGAGCAGTGTTTTTTCATTATTGGTCAGAGGTCTTTGTGGAAATACTGACACCAACGAACCAAAACAACTAACACCAGGAGTCCACCAAAACTTTAAATTTTCGATCAATATTTCATAAATATTCGTGTGAGCACTTGCTAATGATTTGCTGTCTAATAGGCTGTCCCAGCATGCAAACACTCTTCTTCATGAAGTCATGCGAGTGTAGAGAGAGAGTTTTCCATGTGCGGGTGAGGTAGCAAGCATGTATTTACCAAGCTGAAGCCTGTCTGTAAGCTGGCCTGTAGTCTGATGTATAAACACCACATACATCTCTCCATCCTATAGCTTTATGGCTCATTGTTGTCACAAGGAAAATACCATGTAGCTCACACCTCATGATCATGCACTGTTTCAAACAGCCGATTTTATTTTTTGTCAAACCAGTAAGAAGATTCATTGAATACAAATCAGTTGTACAAATTACCTTTTTAGAGGTACTACATTAAAACAGCTTCCTTTTTTGACAACCAACTTTCACTTGAATTTCAATTTTATTTTTAATAAATCCCATGAATTTCTCTCCACATATTGATTTGAAACAACATTAAGATATATGTGTTAGGAACAACATGTATGTGCATACAGAATTGACACTGCAACTGCCAAGTAATTCATATTCCACCTTATAACCCAGACTGGCTACAGTTCTAATGCTCAAGCCATTGATTATCTCCCCTGATAATAAAACATCTCTACTCTGCCCACTTGAGAGACTATTTAGCTTTACAACAGAATGATATAAAATCAAATTAATGAATGTTACAACTAATAAATTTATATTTCACCATATATTGCCACTTATTTTACAAATTCATTACTTCTTGCGCCAAGGTAAAAGTCCATTCCATCATGTATTATTTGATTACAAACCAAAAAGCACACAGAAATTCTATTCCATGTACAGATAACATGTAACAACATACAACATACTTATCAAAATGATTTCTCAGAAAATATGTTCCACTTCATAGGTTTAGAAAATGGAGTAGTAATTAGTACATTTCAATCCAAAGTACACAGAAAATTTATTCCACGGGGTAAGTCTAGAAAACAGAAATCCCATTACAAGCAACAGTAAACATCCTGCAGATATAGAAAATGAAAAATACATCCTATTTCACTCTATGTAAGAAAATGTTGTAACATACTATGTCTTGTAAGAGAACAGAAATATTATGCTATCTTACACATACTCGATCATTCCTTACATGTCTAGAAAAACACCAATTTTATTCAACAGTTCCTCCCTCCATAATATTGAAAATGTATTCCATTTTGCATCATATTGAGAAGTTCTATTCCACCCTGAAAATCTGAACAAGAAGTTATGTTCTACTAGTCAATATATATACTTAATATGATATTCACAAAGTTTTTAAATGTGTTCTGAACAGGGCTTGCTATACATTACCTATAAATAAGACAAATATGCATTCGAAATTTGATCTAGTCTTTTAAGTACATTCTAAATGTCAGCAGAATAGAGTTACATTTAAATGTAAATTGTAGGAAAGTTGAGAAGAATTTGTTTAGCTGTAAAGGTCTCTGGAACAGAGTAACATTAGAATTGCTGACATTTTTACAGGTCAGAGAGTCAGCCCATCTGCATTGCCTTGTGTACAGATTTAGTACCAAATTATAATATTATTGTTAGCTATTAAGTGAAGTTGTTAGCCAAAACAAGTTGTTCCGTCTTATTTTTCACCAACAGGAATTTAGACTTCTGTTAAAGTAAACAGTTTACTAAATAGGCTCTTGCTGTATGCTAAGGTGAGGGAAATATGTGTTCAAGTAAGGAATGATTGAATTTTTTTGTAGAAAAAACATCAATTTCATATAAAATATAATCAGATCAGTTTGTTTTCCCAGTCTGAAAGTTGATAAAATCTGGCTTGTAACTATCTGCATTGAATTTCACTTAATATTGTGATTTTTTTATCTAGAACATTCCAATTGTTTATAATATGGTATAGATGCATACCATAAATTGCTGATTTGGCAAAATTGGACTCTCTAAAATGCCATCTGTATATCACATTGGCTTGTGTCCTGATAAGTCCATCATCACAATCACATATAGTCTTCAAATAGTTTTAGCATCTGCCTTTTCAATTTTGTAAAATGGTGTTGGACATGATTGGAATCAACTTTGTTATGATAATGGAAATATCAATGTGAAAAAAGTTTGAAAAGTTGTTACCTGGAGAAAAGAGTTGGAATTGATAAGGAAAAAGGGTTGGAATTGAAAGGAAAATGAGTTTGAATTGATAAGGAAAATGTGATTATTACAACACAATAGTTTCAATATTTCAGCAATTGTTTTCCCACTCTACGCATTTTAGAATTACTTAAACCAGGAAATTGTGTTTAGATTTTAATAATGGGTTCTCTTTCTACCTATCGGTAAATGAAATCATACACAATGTACATGAATGTGTTGCAATTATTTTTGGTGTTTTCTCAGTTTTCTTCTATGAAATACTTGCTGAAAAACATCTGGTAGTGAAAGTAGAACAAGCGGCCATTAATTGTTGAAGCTTTCAGTGACAGCTGTATCAGAGTAGTACAAATGCTTATAATTGGCCAAAGTGTGAGTCAGAATTCTTGTATGACTATCCAAGAAAGTTGGTGGTGGGGCTGGGGATGGGGGCGAGGTGGAGGGAGGGGGACTCTAATTGTCTTCAACTTTATGTAAAATGTGATGTAAAACCACTCTATAGCACAATTGGTGTGTTTTTGAAATATATTGTGTAATTATTTTACCTGAAGCAGCTTCACACCTACTCAACAATATTAATCATATTATAATTCAGGAGTGGGGAGAAGTTTGAAAATCCTTTAGTGTCTGATACATTAGTTTGATCTTATTGTTTCTCTTTTTATTTCAGGTCCTTGACTAACAACAGAATTCAGACCATTGATCCAGAGAGTTTGGAGGTCTGCAAAAATTTACAGCTTCTGTAAGTATTAACTCCTATTGTACAAGATAACTTTCATTCCTGGTCATCCTGGGTAGATATGTTCGTTTTCATCTTGCTAATATTCCAAATTATATATATTTAAGTATTTAACAAACTCAGAAAGAGAAAAGTGGACCTCTAGAAAGTTGGTTTTCAGAGAATTGCCCCGAACTGGATTTTTTTTCTCATCTTGATTTACATATACAACCACTGATATGCTTTCAGCTGGCATTTACGGGGATATGAATGCCAGCAGGATATGCCAACTAAAAACAGTTTAATTCTTGGATTTATCTTTTTTTAATAATGATCTCATTATATGGGCAGCCAACCTCAATTTGTTTACATTACTTACAATATTCCTATGCCATTGGCAGTTCATTAAATGGTAATACTTACTCGACATAGGTCATGTTAGACTGTAGAAGTGCTGATGGAATTTGACTAGAACTGCTTATGCTACATGTTGATCAAATGTAGCGAGCTTATAACTTAGAAAGAGATGTCAGTAATTGCTTTCAAATTAGAATTTTCACAATGTCATATTTTGAAAAGAAGAGTTTTAATAAAAAAAAATGTGTTAGGCAGTGATTGTGTTAGAAGTGTTAACAATAGCCTGTGTTTGTCATGTTAATTTGGACAGAGAAAGGCCGTTCATGTTTGTATGTGTGAATGGTGAGGAATCTGTGCTTTAAGGCTAGTGGACCACACTGGCACCAGCTTGGGTAGAAGTGATCCAAGCCACTTCATACTCGCATATAAGACGTCCTGCCCTTTCTCACCTCTCCATAACGAGCTCATCTTTTCACTGCTGTAGAGCCCTATTCAGTGGCCCTGATATCTCCCAACCACATAGCCCAGCTCTATTCAAAGGGAAAATATTGGCAAGTGATCATCCGCCTTCAATTATACAGCAGAAATAGAGATTTGAATTGTAAAGCTTCTCGCTAGTTCTTTTCACCTGTACAGTTTTGTTCTGATACAAGAAATCTTGTATTCACATGCTGTATCTGTCATATCCTCAGTGAACAGTGTAAAAGTTGACAGACAATGTCAATACATAGAAAAATGTCCGAATATTGAACTTTTAGTATTACTAAGTCAGTTGTTCCCCATTAGAATGAGGATACATAACTTCACAAACTGGTGAATTCAAGACTAAGGCCATCCCCGTACACAGTTTCAAAATAAAAGGATGCACTGTTTTCATTTATCAAACATTTCCTAGTGAAGATAGTTCTTTAAAAAACTCCAATGAGAATAACTTTAATTGATCAATGAGATCAGCAAGAGGAGTTAGGTATAAATTCATCATTTTTTCCAATTCACTTTGATACCTTGTTTTTTTTTGTTTTTTGTTTTAGATAAGAGATGGCTTTTTTAACTGTCTATAGATACCCTATCCTCAATTCATTTATTATAGTTACTGCTTAGTATAATGAGTAGGATTAACATATTAGATAGCTGTCAACATTACTTTTTTTAAAACCTTTTTTCCCCCTCCCCCTCCTCCTGGTAATATATTTCCTGAATTTATTTCACTTCATTGAAGTGGACAGGATTACAAATTATTTTTAATGATCGGATGTCATTATTATTATGTGTTTGTGATGTAAAGAACCAGATAAAGTATTGAAGTTTTATAAAATATTGTAGAGTGTAAATTCTAATTTGATTCTAGAGTGAATGGCACCATCAGTTTCTGATAGAGGACAGGTGTAAGTTTTGGGGCTCACCAGAGGAGTGGGGCAATATATAGGCCAAGGAGGTTTCCAAAGTGTAGACAGGAAGGGATTTTATGATGGAATTTTTAAAAATGGTCCAATGACAGTGAAAGACTTCTTAAGGGTTGAGAAAAAAGTTTTAGGAAACATGGATTGGGACGGGGATGGGAATTAAATGAAATCACTATAACATGTTGTCAGCGATCCCTTCTTGCCTGTCTATGATTCCTAAACCATTAGAAATCGTAAGCAGGTGTGGTGGTGTAACCAGGCTCATGCCACAATTAGGAGAATCCAAGCTTTTACAGGTTTTATGTGTATTTGGAAGGAAAAAAAAGCTCTCTCCATCTTTCTACTGTGGTAATAAAATTCAGAAATTCTGCATGAATTTTGGCAGTAAGGAAATGGTACATGTGTATGCAGTCTGGATGGACGAGAGGAGGCATGCTGTAAGCTAGGAGCACATGTTTATTTGTGCTGTTTGCTACAGATGAGATTGGCATTATGGCAAGATAGAACTAGATTTGGATACTAAATGAATTGGGGATTTTAAACTGACAAATTTGTTTTCTTTGCCCCCCCCCCCCCTCCCCACTGGAGCTACTGGGGAGGGTTTCACTGCAGTCTGGTGGTTTAGTAGCAAACAGCTATCTAATTTTCCTATGTACCAAATGAATTGGGGATTTTTAACTGACAAATTTGTTTTCTTACTGGAGCAGGGTTTCACTTGTGTGAGGTTTTATATAGTACAAGGCTATCTTATGTAGTTGGCAGTGACTTGACTTTCTACAGCTGTGTGTCCATAGCCTACAAGACCTGATAAACTACACATTACTGTTTTTCTTCTTTATCATTACACATGACAAATTGTTGAACATAAAAATTCATTAAGAACTTTAAATGTCACAATAAAGACAATAATTACATGGAAGAATTTTTTTTGTAATTTATTGTTTAATTTACAAAAATTATTAAAATGAACCTGAATTCCTTGGAAATTTAGTGATAAGTCATCATATATACTTAACATTCATATGGCTTACATGGCAGAGCCGTGTACAGGATCCTACATTTACATAAACAAGCCATATAGAGTTGTCTTATAGAACACCTCTTCATCACTATCTCCTAACAATACTCATAAAACAGCTCTGTTAATTTTAATATACAATACCATCCTCATAAGCTTTCTCAGCAGTATTCCCTAGTACACAATATCACATTGATAGTGAGTGCCATCTAATTATAGTGGAACAATGCATAAATGCCTCTTTCTATGCAAGACACAATTTGAATGAAAAGGGCAAATGCGTTGTTAATCGGGTAAGAGTATGGGGCTAGTTGATAGAAGATGGGTTAAACAACTTGATGTATTATTCTAACACTAACGCTGTACCTGAGGTCTCAGGTCTTCAGTTATATCATGTAATGCCGTAATCCCGATGGAAATGGAAAACTGCAAATCAATACATTCACAACACAGATCAGAAATGGTATTCTGCAGACTGTAAAACGTTAACCACTACGCTGGCTGTAGTTATTTCAGCTCAAACTCGGTTAGCTTAACTGTGCCTCTGATTTCGCTACAAATGTATTTTGTTCTTTGCTGAAATTCATCGTATTAATTGTTAACATTTCCTTGATAGAAAAATAATGAATGAAAACATAAAACTACGTAAAATATCATAAATCGCAAGATCATCTAGATTATTTAAAACATGAAACTATCACTGCGTATTTTAACCTAATGGTTGTTGAAGGAGACTAGCATAGGCTACTATGTTGTCCTGTACCAGGGAGGGAAGGGAATTTGCCCAGGATTGATGGGCTCACGGGCGGGCAAGCGGGATCGGGATAAAGAGAGAGGCACACAAGTTTAGGGACACTCGGGATGATGTATATGTTGCGGTAACACATTACATACAGTAGGGAGGCCTAAGCACTTCTCCTAACTATGTATTACTCAATCTTATATAGCATTTTAACGTGTATGGATGTAATCTGGTCGATCATAAATACTTTGTCTGCTTATTGCATGGATGAAATTGCATCGACCACTGCTGTTGGATTTGGTTGTAAGGCTAGATATAAGAGATGATACACAAGCTAATTGGCTGGTGCTACAAAACACAACTATCTGCCTGGCTTCTCAAGTATGTGTGAATGTTATGTACACTACTGCACCATGTTTATGTCTATCTGGCGCTCTTTGTAAGAAGCAGACAATGGTATTCATTAATATAAAAGGCATAGGTTTTGTCTGATAAGCGGTACTTAGGCCAAGGTGTTTTGTAATAGGGCATCAAACACCTTATTTTCTCTCCTATAGGAAAATTAATAAATTATTTGCTGTCATTAATTAATCTAAGATAAATCATTCAGTGTTTGTGACTAATGGAAAATAAAATTTCAGTAAAGTGAAGTAGAAAATCTGCAGCAGTGTATATCTCAAGTTGGTATAAAACTTAAAATTTAGTTGGAATGTAGTAACTTTATTGATGAAATTGAAAAAAAAAATCAAAATTTGTAAGAAATGTTACATGTGGAAAAAAATACAAGAGAAATGTATCTAAACAGCAGGAAACAATTAAAATAAGGTAAGTTTTAAAGTTTTAATCTTAGCCAACAGCTACACCAATGGAGAGGTGATCTGTGGAGATATATATATACACATAGAAAAAGGGAGGAATGAAAATGATGGGTTAAATTATACTGTATAAAAACATTACAAATGTGAGGAACAGCTGAATGGCTGTATATAACCCAGCTGAGGGTTGTGAGAGCAGTGTGGAGCCCATCAAAACAGCTGCAGAGTTACACAATTTCATCTTATCAGACTAGGATAGGGTAGCAGACTTGTGTTTGGGTGGAATTTTATTTGTGGAGAGGAATTAGATACTGTAACATTTATGGAAATCTGGTAAATTTGTCGGGCTTGTTAGGCGGAATAGGTGTAGAATACACTGCCTTAATGAAATGATCTGTTTTTCATATCAAACAGTGTAGATAGGGGTGGTGATACAGAGGGGACCATCTGTTCAGGGTAATGAGGAGGTATCCGTAGGGAGGGAGGGGAAGCATTGGACCTCGTCCAGGAAGTGGGACTGGAGATACATCCAGAGGTGTTTCATACCTATATACAGAGTATGCACTATCAGATGCAGGCAATCTTGTAAATAATTGAATTCGTGATCTTACACTCCATCTTGTATACCTTGGCTGATGTTATGGGGCATAACTCTTGGTCTACTAATAGTTAAATTATTACAAGTATTAAATGATTTTGATAAGGGCTTGAATCATGGGGGAATGAAAAGGGCTAGGTGTTTTTAGGCCTGAGGATTCTGATATATGTTACTGGAGAGAGATGACTGCTGTACCAGTACTAATGTAATGTTTAAATGTAGTGTTGTAAAGCTGACAAAACAGAGGAAATCATTGTATCATTGATACTGACCCGTCCTCCAGTGTATAAACATTTATTCCCTGCAGTAGATGTTTATTGGAGTTAACAGTGTTTAAAATCATATTATAATCAAATACTTCTATTAGGCAAAGTATTTTATGAGGGCAAACATGTTTGGAGGAAGTCAGAGAATGAAACAAAAAATGAGAGAGATAAATGTGTTGGGTAATTTGTATGCTTGTAAACGGTCCGGTATGGAAATGTATTGACAAACATCAGATCGTTGTATGAAGTGAATAAGAAGAATGTGTATGTATTTACTACATGGTAATTTATATTCAGGGTGTATTTAGTAAGGCTATAGAAGGCCTCGATGCGTGACCACAGAAACAATTGATAGATATAATCAGCCCCACACCTGGGCAGTAATGACACGGACCAGGTACACCTTAGTCTGTTACAATAGGGCACTGTTCCTGCTGTATAGGTGTACAGGTAAAGGGATCCTACCCTGTCTCTGCTGACAAACTCTGTAGAAATGTACACCCCTCAATATGTACCTGTAAAGATTTGCTCCAGGCCTGTAATGGCTAATGTGTGTTTACCAAGATTTAAACTAATGTTTTACCTGGTTCTATGCTTGTGTCAGGAATTCCCACAACTCTTGATCTGTAGGCCTTGTACATGTTGTTACACATTTGGTTTTTATTGACATTTTGATCAAATTTTGATTTTCTCATTCCCCTCTTAGGTTTCAATATTTAAGCACTCAGCATCTCTAACAAGTCCTAAAAGGACAAAACAGAATTTTGTTAGAATTTTAATCATTATTTGGCTCTACTCTGTCTAATTCCAAACTTGTGTTGAAAGATACTATTCACATGTATAAGGGACTATTCACTTGTATAAGGGACTATTCACTTGTATAAGGGACTATTCACTTGTATAGGGTACTTATATAAGGGACTATTCACTTGTATAAGGGACTATTCACTTGTGTAAGGTACTATTCACTTGTATAAGGGACTATTCACTTGTGTAAGGGACTATTCACTTGTATAAGGGACTATTCACTTGTATAGGGGACTATTCACTTGTATAAGGGACTATTCACTTGTGTAAGGTACTATTCACTTGTGTAAGGTACTATTCACTTGTATAAGATACTATTCACTTGTATAAGGTACTATTCACTTGTATAAGGTACTATTCACTTGTATAAGGGACTATTCACTTGTGTAAGGTACTATTCACTTGTATAAGGTACTATTCACTTGTATAAGGGACTATTCACTTGTGTAAGGGACTATTCACTTGTGTAAGGTACTATTCACTTGTGTAAGGTACTATTCACTTGTGTAAGGTTCTATGCACTTGTGTGTATTTTGTACAACTTTATAGACTTTCACTTGAATATTTAAACTTTTCTTTCAAAGCTCTTGTAATTTCTCTCTGAAAGTAAATAGAAATTTATTGAAAGTAAGTTGGTAACACACTGTTGAATAGATATTTAAAAATAGATACTAAGTAAATGTTGAAGGCAACTAGGAATTCTGAATCATGTCCTGATGTAATCTGCAAGATAAAAACAAATGTTTTCTGTTTTTTGTAGGGACCTAACCAATAACCGTCTGACCTCCATAACCAGAGGGTCATTCGCTGAGCTCAATAATCTGCGCTCTCTCTACCTCAGTGACAATCACATCTCAAATATTGAGGATGGAGCTTTCCGTGACCTGGAAAGCCTAGAACTTTTGTAAGTATGCAATAGTTAATAAGACTAAGCTGTATGTATGCGATTTTCTGTCATTACATTAGATAAAGGCCATATTGGACAGATAATGTACCTGATCATTGTATCCTGATAAAATGTTTTGAGATCTGAATTAATTTTGTGATCAAAAGTCATAATGGTTTATCTAATTGATAAAAATGGAATAACATGTATTATATATATATAATCGTATAAAAGTATATAGACAACATGTATATACAGAAAACTTTATGGATGTAACATAATGTTGAAAATGTTTACGTTATCTTTGTGACAGGGAGTTAAATAATAACGCCATTTCCTGGACTATAGAGGATATGAACGGAGCATTTACTGGTCTCAATGCTCTCACCAAGCTAGGCCTCGAGAACAATAAGATCAAGTCCATAGCCCAGAATGCCTTTAGCGGCCTCAGCCAAGTTGTCAGACTCAACCTACAGAACAACCCCATCACTTCCATCCAGCGTGACGCACTCAGGGTCATGACTCAGCTCAACCAATTGTAAGACTCCACACACCACAGCGCTAACATTGTCTCTCTACAGGAATTTATCAACCAAATCATTTTCCATCAAATTTTTTTCCCATTTTCTTGGTTGATAAAGCATTGTTATGCTTTTAAATCTACAGAAGGGTTTCATGTACATCGTTCAAGCTAGATGTTTTTTTTCTATGTTACACTAAGTCTGATAGACTGATGATTTTAGTGCCCTCATGCAAATAAATGCCATTATCTCTTGGTTTTTGTATGCAAGAAAATTCTCATTGTGCCAGATAATTGAGCACATGTGTACTTGTGATTAAACAAGCATTTTCTGTTTTAAAATTAAATGCTATTATGTTTTTTTAATTACATTTATAATGAATATCAGAGGAACATTTCTGGCTTTCTGCGATCATGGGTTCCAGATTTCTTTTGCTAAAAAGCCTGTACGATTTGTCAAGATTCAAAGGAACAATTTAAATGTTTTTTTTTTGCCTCATGTTTTGGGGAGAAATACAATTGATCTTTGAGATAAGGATGATGTATGGAGTGAAGAGGATGTAATTCACGGGTTCTGTGCTTGTTCTCTATCATTAACCACTTTTAATAGTATTTGCTTCTTATTGAAATGCATGAAAGACAAAACAATGAGTGGTTTATTACAACTCGTTAAATTGTTAGCCATATAATTCTAGAAATGCTTGTGCAATCTATCTGCCTTAAGACCCAAAAATACGCAGCCTGGTGGCAAAATGATGGAGAGTGGTAGATTTTAATGTGATTAAAAACATGTTAATCGCCAGGCATAGGAAGAGAAAACCTTTGAGTTGATTAAGTTTGCCGGTGCTGTTGTTAATTCGGCTGGGGTGTAATGCCATGGTAATTGGTACATGCAGCAGCATAAGAATGTGACTCGGTGATTGATATGTATTGACTAGAGTGCTTAATGACCGATTAACCTTTGATGGGACTGCCACCATTTTACAATTAATACCAACACATTTCCAAAACTCTCAATTTCCTAACTTAATTTTTTTCTCTCATTTGTAGATCTTTTAATTCCTGCAGTATACATTGCCCCCTTGGGCTCTATGTGATCTGAAATTTGGTTTTGTTGTTTTTTTCTTGACTCATTTGTTGTTCAGTTGATTCCTCTAGGTTACCATTAAGTTACTCCTCCAATACTCTTTAACTGCAGCCAATTGTTTGATTCTGTAATGTTTTTTCTTCGATTGTTAACAGATTGTTATTTGATTGTTAATTGTGTCAGAAAATCCCATATGGTTTTGATAGTTTGAATTTCCGTGTGGGGGCTATTTTTTATGTTGTTAAGGCTACTCATCTGCATGTATTTCCCTTGGGTGGACCAAAGTTATGACTTGTATATTTTTGTGTACTTTCAGATCATTTAATTCATCAAGCCTGCTGTGTGATTGTCAACTGTCATGGCTGCCTCAGTGGCTTGAGGAAAAAGGTTTCCAGAGCACAGTTACAGCTGTATGTGCACATCCTGCCAAATTAAGGGGCAGAAATATTTATACTATTGACCCACAGGAGTTCAAGTGTGGTAAGTATAAAGTCAAGGTCATCCCAGCTTATAGGGTCAAAGGTCAAACCAATTAAAACCCACAGTTTATAGTAAGACATTGCAAAATGTTGAATATTATAATTAATTTACTAGAGTAAAAGATTTCTTGTCAGCTGATTGTATCAAATTATGTCTATACCAATAAGAACATTTGAACTGAAGAAAAAGATGAGTTTTGTGAGTTATTTGAGATATTGGTAAATATATTGCAAAGCATTTTTCACTTTTAATTCAATATATGATGTCATTTCTGGCAAGGAATGATTCCAGAAATGGAAAGTGCAGAATCAAACTATTTGTAGCAGACTATGCTGTTATTATTGAAAATTAAGAAACAAATTTGATATGATTTTTGTTTCTTGCATACAGAGGGAGATTTCCTGCAGCCAGTGATTACCGTGAGTCCTGTCTCACAGATCGCACTGAAGGGACAAAACATCACTCTCAACTGTAGTGCTAATAGTACCATGCAATCACACACCCAGTTCAGTTGGAAGAAAAACAACATGGTAGGCTATGGTTTCTTAATTGTTGGCAAATAGAAACAGATTAGGGCTGTTCTATAGAAAAATACTCCACCTGCATGAAAATAATTTAGTTTTTCAGTAACAACACAGAAATTTATTGATACAGATTTTGTCACTTACCATATAGATATTAAGGCTGTAAAAGGCATCTAATATTTGTACCTGGAAAAAGACCTTTCAATACTTCCTTCATGTTTCCTTCCTTTATAACAAACTAATATGATACATACCATTCACCTGTCTAATGTACTATGTTGTCTTTACAGTTACTGATGGACAAAGATATTGAGAACTTTGTTCGTGCTGATGGAGATATCTACAACTATACCTCCCGTCTCCATCTTACTCGCATACAGGACTCGGACATGGGGCTCTACCAGTGCATCATATCCAATGAGTTCGGCTCGGCCTACTCCAATAAATCAGACATCCGTGTCCATGGTACAATTTTTCTCCTTGGTCAAGTTATTCTTGTGTAGACTATGAAGTGTAGATATGAAACCAATGTCAAACGAGTTAAATATTGTATTTCATACAAGAGTATACAAATGTTGTAATACACACTTGGCGATTTTACATAATATAATAGCTGGACTTTTTTATGTAAATTCTGTGTTAAAAATGGTATGTTAATACATTTACAGTTGTGCTTTTGTAGCAGAAGAATAAGGAAATTGAAATAAAATAGATGTATTTTGAATTATGATTTGTCTTCATCCTCAATTCTCTGCTTGTTAAATTATGTGTGGTATTGTAGACCTATGTATTTCTTTTTGGCAGTATTCCCCAAGTTTGTGAAGACTCCATTAGATGTAACAGTAAAGGCTGGACACACAGCCCGTCTCCAGTGTGCAGCTACAGGTCAGCCCAACCCTATAATTAAATGGAACAAGGATGGGGATGATTTTCCTGCAGCAAGGGAAAGGAGAGTACATGTGATGACTGCCGATGATGTTTTCTTCATTGTGGAGGTGAACAGGAAGGATGAAGGTGTATACAGCTGTACAGCCAAAAATGATGCTGGCATGATAAGCGCTAATGCAACCCTGAGGGTGTTAGGTAAGCATTTTATTGCCTGTAAATATTCTAATGGAAATAACATAATTTATCATATATCTCGATGATTGTTATAGCAGATACAATCAAAGATTTCTTATCAATGCAAAGTTTTGCTCGCTTTTCCTTGCTAGCCAATGTAAGACAATTTACTTGCAAATCACCTCATGGGAGATGCTGAAGGAAGATTCCTTCTTGTATTTTAGAATCACCAACTTTTGTGAAGCCTATGGAGACTGTGAAAGTGACTTCAGTAGGAGATACAGCTGTATTGGAGTGTATGGCTGCAGGAAGCCCACCACCAAGTCTCTCTTGGCTTAAAAATGACAAGCCTTTAAAGGAAAGTCAGCGTTATTTCTTCACAGCGGGTAACCAGCTGCTAATCATTGTACAGACGGAGATAAGTGATCACGGACGTTACACTTGTGTCATGTCTAATACACTCGGGAAGGAGACAGGATCCACCAATCTCCGAGTTATGCCTAAGAACCGTGGTGTTGTCAAGGAAGTGAATGGAAGTCAGCAGGGAAACAACGGTCCCAGTGATGAATCAACAACCACAGGAATCATCATCATTGCTGTTGTCTGCTGTGTTGTCGGTACATCATTAGTGTGGGTAATCATTATCTATCAGACAAGGAAGCGTCATGAAATGTACAGTGCTACCCCAACAGATGAAACCACCCTCCCAGGTGAAATACCCAGCTCAGGCTACACATCGTCTGACAAAGAGGGAAGTTTTACACAGCCTGTACCTATGACTACACCAAACTTTCAGTACCATGACTACCAGATGAAGGAATCTGGTTATGAGTCGTCATCGGGACGTTTTCGGGCTGCAAGAGCAGCCATATTTCCCAGTGATGTTGATGAGGAGGATCATCAACAGTCTGTGCCTCTCACCCTTGGGGAACATCAGCTGGGGTCCGACTCACCAGGTACATATTTGTGACAAAAATGATTGAACTTGCATGTAGTTTTTGTTTACTTATAATTTGGTCTTCTATCTTAAGTTCAGTGAAAATAATAAAATAGAGATTAAATGAAATTTTGGGATTTGAAATAACTGTCACATGTACTTAAAAGGTTTTCATTTTTTGTCAATCTGAATTTATGTCGGAAGTAAGCAGATTTACTAAAATTGAATCTTTTTTTCTTTTCAACAGAAAATAGTGTGTCAAGTTTACATTATCCAAACAGTGATGAAACAGACTCTTTAAAAAGTTCACACAGTACAAACAGTACACGTGCTAGTGAACAGCACACTCTGCGGACATTCCACCCTGTACCCACTAACCATGACACACTGTCACGGGTGTCGACCACACCAGATGTGGGTGGGGGTGGCCATTGTGAAGGATGTGATCAGTGTCAGGGACTTACGAGTGGTGAAAGACAGAATTGTCACAGTGCTAATTACAGACACTCTTTATATAATAGTCCACAGCAGAGTGGGATGCCGATTCATCATGGATCCCAGCCCCAGCCTCCAGGTGCCCCACACCCTGGCATAGGTAAGTTTCAGCCCTTTCCATCATCTGCTACAGCAAATTCCCATTTGTGCTAAATCTGAAAAACAGGACAGTAGTGCTTAGTATCTTACATGGAAAGAGCAAGAAAGAAGACATAATTCTAATACACAAACTTTTGCCCCATAGATTGAAGTATAAGTGAATCATATTTTTATTATATTTATTTGTACATTGAGGTAGGAAAATTTTCAACAAGGAACCCTGTTGTAGATGAAGTATAAGACCAACCAAGCTGTCTAAACTGCTAATCATGATGTACTAGCTTCCACAGACCTGAAAAATTCCAGGTCACACTTTTACTTAATTAAATTACTAGATGACCAGATTTGGTGTCAGTGATCAAAAGATATGTGGTATACAGATATGCTGTGGTGTTTCAAACTAATGTTGTATAGTACAACACTGAATATCAGATATCGGTGTTTTGTAGATCCTCAGGTGTCATGTACTGTGTATTACATATCTAGTATCGCGGTATACATTATTGATGTCTGCAGTAGAGAGAAGTTGGTTGTTGATATGCAGAATCAGTAATAGAGCAGAGTGCTTCAGAAGTATTTCCTTGTTGGGGAGAAAGTGATGTTGTAAATATTACAGTATACTGGTGATGTACTAATCATGTCTGTTTTACAATATTTCAGATTACCAAGTTGAAGATGCTGTTTGTGATAGTCAACACAATGTTTGTAATTGTCGCTGTACGTCCCCTGTACATAATTCTCCCATCCCAGTACCAAGCAATTCTACAGGTAAGCATATAGATACTCCCTAAAGTATCTTTACTGAAATAAGGTGACCCAATGATTGTTTACCTTTATGTTTAGAATTTTTGGAAAAGGATATTTACAATAGAGAATATATTATCAGTCAGTATCTGAAGGCTTCCTTTGAATAAAACTTTTACTTTATTTTAGTCAAAGAGCATTTGTCTTGTTTTCTAACTTTATTTTCTTTTCTTTGTAGTATGTCATCATGTTATGAAATCACCATCACCAACCCCACCACATTTGGTATCAGGCATACCTCCACATGTGGTGCCAAATATACCCAATCCATATAGTCACCACCCCCCATCTCTACTCAATACTCATGACTGTCAGGTGTGTGCTAATAATAAACTGCCACGAAATGTGGCCATGGATTGTAATCATCATAACAATTATAGAGAAGTGTTAGTCGTTGGTGGTACACATCGGACAAGCAACGGAGCCATCGACAAAATCCCCCCTGTCATTCCACCAAAGCACAGACGTTCACATTCGTCATCGCATTCAAAAGCGAATGGCGTAACACAAAATGGCACTTTAAAATCCTTAGATGGGAAGACAGTGGATGTGTAGTTGTTGATTTGTTGACAAGAATGTAATCCTCAGCATAATAGTGACATCAGAATTATGATGATCAGCTGTGTGAAAGATTTGGAAAGCTGATGTCAATAGCCTGAAGGATTTGGAACGCTTTAACCAACAGTGTGAAGGATTCAGTATTTGAAATGCTGATGTTCAACAGTGCGAAGGATTCAGTATTTGAAATGCTGATGTTCAACAGTGCGAAGGATTCAGTATTTGAAATGCTGATATTCAACAGTGTGAAGGAATCGGATCGCTGTATTCAAGTTTCTGTGATTTGTGTAACAAGCCAAAGCTTTATACCTTTCGACCCACCCAGGAGGGGCAGGGACTGTTGTGTTGTGACCTCAATGGGTCACACAAACATTAATTATTATAATTATTATTATTATTTGTATACATTGATATGTTTTTGTGTACATTGATGGACAAAGAAATTGGAGAATGAAATGAAACGGGTAAATTATTGAGTTTGATGCTGCTACCTATCCTATACACATATGTCAGGAAATGGATTTACAGAAATCGCAATGGTTGTAGAATTCTTTCAGTTTTAACAGAAATAAAGAATAGAAATAAGTGAAAGCTCAAAGGAATTACAGATCCATATCCTGACAGTTGACTGCCTCTTTTCTCTCTCTAACCAAAAATTTGGTTGATTTAAAATTTTGATTTCGATGTGTAATTATGAAGGATATTTGATCTTTGGATGCATTTGCCAAAATGATTTGCTACAAACATAACCGTGTAAACCATTCTCTTATCAACAATGCTATACATAAATGGTTTTATTTATTCAGTATATGATACAGGTGCTGTGTGTAATGCATCTAATTTTAAAATGGCATTGTTATGGAAACCTATATGTGTAAGACAAAGCCACTGGCTTTTAAACTAATTTCCCATCTCCTGTCTTGTGTACCGAATTGTATCATACAATTTTGTATAGCCAATAATGTTTTAATGCTTGCAATGTGTACAAATCTTGTTCTCATTGTAAATAATCAGACGGAACATACCTCATGCAAATCCATAGGTTCCATGTGTCAAGGTTTCTGTTTTGTAGACTTATTACTATGTATAAAGTGGGTATGCTAGAGGATTGTAAGAGAATGTCCTGAACCATAGTATATCATGAAGGATCGTAACAGGTATATGTGTGTTAACGTCAGATCCATGTTGTCTAATATAATTTCATCACAAGTTCATTGACTGCTGATATTTTTACAGTTAAGACACCTAAAAACTAGTTGTGACTATATCTAATGCCAAATTTAACCTCCTTTAGTTTCCAAAAACTTTTATGAAAGTAATTTTGACTTTGTTGAGAACGAAAAGTGATGGTAGTAGAACCCACCTGCATTTGAACCAGAAATTACGGAAATATTCTGAAAAATTTCTACATATTTTCTTCATGTTTTGTTTTAAACAAATTTTACTGTCAAAAAATAAATTGATGATAAACAAGTTTCTGCAACTTATATATTGACTCTGTATTATCATAGTCATAACTCTAACACATGTAAAATGTAGTTTTGAATTTCAAAAATCTGTATTTAAATAGTTACAAAATACCAGTCAAGTATTCTAAGGTATGGTTAAGTGTTTTCTGCCTGCAAATTCCATGCTTTTAGGATATTAATTATGTCTATAATTTCTTTCATGTTAACTTGCAGAAAAATGGTCTAAAAAGTTATTTCAAAACTAGCCAATTTTTTCGATAAAATTTTTCGTTTTCAAACTAAGTACAATCTTTTACTGAAATTTAAGTAACGGTGTAAGTGTGTGCACGAAGGGTATTTGTGTGTGTGTGTGGTGTATATTCCCCATAGGCCAAGTTTGTTTTGGCCACTCCTTGTTGATAGGCCAGTCATTTTGTGGTAACTCCTCGTCTAGGTGCTGTTTAGATGAGGGTTAGACAACTTACACAAAAATATTATTATTGTAGTTTTTACGATATATTATGTATGCCCAAGAAATCCATTTTGTGTCACAAAGTATCGCAGTTGTAACATATGGTTATTAATCTTTGCAAATTATCACAATCGTTTTACAAGTGATATTGCTCTTTGATTTGGTCTATTTAAAAATATATTCGTATTGATTGAACTGAAGCCATATTTAATGTAGTATTTTATTCTGGGTCATCCACAGAAGCCATAAACTAAGTAAATCTGCTACTGAAAGTGGAATAGTATATATGAATCATGGTCAACCTCCAGTTTTGCATTCGTTATATTATTCAAAAGAATGCTGTTAGTTTTTTGCCTTTCAGAAATTCATCAAACTTTTTTTGTATATTCATAAGAATAGGTATATTTACATAGTACCTATATATGAAGGCTGTAATCATTTCAAAGGCAAAAAATGGCAAGAGTAATATTTTAAATATTTGACACACAATACCTCTATATGTTAGCAATAACTTTTCCTAATTAAAGGATGTATTGTGTATCGTTTGTCTCAAAAATCATAAAACGAGAAAACTCCACTGTTTTTACCTAGTATAAACAGGAATGATATTTTTGCTTAGAAATGACTTTTTTTTTTTTTTTAAACTTCAATCCAAGTGTCTTCATAAACACAATTCTAACAAGTTTCAAAACTGCTGCCACAATATTTCCAGTCTTATGTGGGTACATTTATTGTTGTATTGAAAAAATACAATATTTCACGAGAAATTAGTTTTTATTGTTGTTAGATACTCAATACTCAGTGATGTTTGTCACAAAGAATGCCATTTTAACATAAGCATTCATTATCACACTATTTTTTTAGATAATGCATTAATACAATTTTTTATATAAAAATTTAGAAATCTTACTGCTTCTTTTCCATACTTTAGAAATTTCTTTTAAAATTGCATACCTGTGCATTTTACAGAAAATTGTAGAAAAATTGGCATTGTTGGATTTTTTTTGCAATTATTAAACATAGTGTGATTGAATATTCATTAAAGCCATGATATTTAAATCTCTGAAGGAATTTAAATGTTTATGAAATGCCCACATCCCACCTTGTCAGCCAGAATATCATGGCCGAGCATTTTAATCACATTCAGCAGTATGTATATGTATACAAGGTATAAACTCCAATCATCCTAAAAGCAAAGAAATTTTATTTAGTGTTATGTAGAGTATTTATAAGTATTATCATGAAATTCACTTGCATGCAAGATAATTTTCAAAACCATCTTTTATTAAAAACTATTATCAGTTGTTTTAATATTAAAAAAACAATAATTATTCATTTTTGATTATGTAAAACAGAAACAGTTAATTGTAAGAAAACTTTTATTCAAGTTTATTTTACTATAAAAGACTCTTTCCAGACAGATTTTTATTACACCTGATTGATTTAATTGTCCTTGCACCTTAGTCACATTAATGTGACCATTTTATCTGTTGTCGCCCTGGACTATCACTCTTTTGGTTTGAATTATGTTTTTTTAAAATGAGATACTCTCAGTTTACAACTGTGTTGTGATTTTAAATGGCCAAGTTTTTTATTTCAAAACTGCTGGATTGGCAAGCAACTTTTATGAACCTCTGAATAGTTCAAAAATCAAGTGATAATTTAAATAGGTCACAAATTGACAGATAGTTTAGGATTTGGTATTGATGTCCCATGTCTGTTATTTGTGTGTTTCTGTTACCATTTAATCCATCACTCGTTGACATGTTAAACATGTATAGTTGAGGTGTGTTTTCTCCTGTATATGGCCAAGTTTTACTGTGTAGTGGAGACACGCTAGTAGTAATTCAAACTGTTGCATGGAAGTTGAACCTTTTTAATTTATTAAAGATGTAAACATGTTATCAATGTCGGTTGTGTGCGAGTCAGAATGAAGCATTATATTTGTACAGAATATTGGAGAAAATGATAAAATAAAATACCAGAATATGAAATCTTACAAATTTGTTGGCTTGTTTTTAACTTGTAGAGCACATAGTACTTTTCACTTCCTGTTATCTATCAATTGATCAAAAAGGACACACAAAGTATTATTTTCGGTTTGCTTCAAATATTTTTCAATGGAGCAATTGGCAGTTATGAAAGTTGTGCAGTAGGGTAGCAAGCAGTACACAATTTCTCTGTGTGGCCATGGGTGATAATTTTGTTCATTAGACTACCCCATTATAAAAGTTTTAATTAAAGTTTAAAAAAATAAATCCTCGCTAAAATTGGTGTTGTCTTGTTGAGTTGGACAATGTGAGGTTTCATTTTTACCCCACAGCCCGAAAGGGTGTGGGGTATTGCGATCACGCACGACGTCCGTCCGTCTGTCTGTCCGTCCACAATTGTATGCCGCTTATTATCTCAAAAAACTACATTACCGGTCATCACCATTTTCACTGGGGATGTTGGGTCTATGGATCTACACAACCCTATTGTTTTTCGTCGCCGCCCGATATCCAATATGGCGGTTACGGCCGCCATCTTGAATCAGCATTCCACTCATTATCTCAAGAACGATATCACCGGTGACCACCATTTTCACTGAGGATGTTGGGCCTATTGACCTACACAACCCTATTGTTTCTCGTCGTCGCTCGATATCCAATATGGCGGTTACGGCCGCCATCTTGAATTTGCATTCCGCTCATTATCTCAAGAATGTCGGATGAGAACAAGAACTGAAACTTCCGTAGGTCCATAGGCCCAACATCTCCAGTGAAAATGGAGATTTGCAGTGTTTTGACATAATGAGCGGAATGCAAATGCAAACAAAAATCTACAGGCTTATTTACGTCCATAGAGCCAAAATGCTCAGTGAAAATGGTGATCTCCGGTGATCTCATTCTTGAGATAACTTTCCACTCACCCCAACCACACATTTCCAACTTTATAATAAAGCTGTTGGGTAATGCCAGCGTTTGTGGAGCTATTTTTTCCAGATTGATATTTTAGCTTTGTGTTGGAGATGACTATTTGGCAAGTCTTGAATCTGTGTCTACACACCTAAAGCTAGCTTTACAAGAAGTGAAATTTTCTGTGTTTACACATGGTCATGTTGTGAAGGATTTCTGAGTTGGAACTTGTTGAAATAGAAGTAGTTTGTTACCATGACAGTGTCGTTGATTTTAAGAGAAGTGTTCAGAAATCAATTTCTTCTATAAAGTTGTAGTGTTAGGTTGGAATTAGCATTTTTTTTGCATTTTTAGATTTTTATGAGTTGGTAACCATAGCAATCGCATGTCAGAAATCAGAGGAAATTTTTGATTTACACAAAATTTATTTATTTTGTAATTGGTATGTAGTTTATACATATCTACATGTAAGGATGTAATTTCATAACCAAACTGCTATAGCTGTACATCTCAAACATGACCAATAATTTCAGAAAAAATGCAAATTATCTGTTTCCTGCTACCTAGGCATTTCATATAATTTACTGAAAATTTATCATTAAGCATTCACAAATCGCACTGCATTTTTCATGGCTTTCCTTAACTAATTTGACTTGGGAGATATTCTGACTATTCCTGGACTGTACCATATATACTGCTTTGTTAGAAAAAAAACCTATAGTCTACACATGTTGTTATGGTGGCTGACGACTGACTTTGGTTATCAGTGCGATACTAAGTTTTAACTTTCGAAAGCACAAAATAGAAATACAACGAAGTTGCATCGAAAAGAAGGCGACAAGCACGGAAATACATCAAACATCTACAGTAATGATTGAGGGGAAGCAACTCTTACAAGATCGACTCCATTGAAGTTGTTTACCGCGCTAGGTATTCCCGCGATTTCCTCATCCATACATGCAGTCTACGTAAACAAGATGGCCGCCAGGACATGTTGGGTGAGCAATGTGCTGATGATTTTAGTACTTTTTACCTGTTTTAGCGGGGTTTTAAATCAATACTAACTTGCTGATATCTCAACAATGGTGCCAGGGAACCATTTTCCAATTTTTGATAAAACTATGAAGTGTTATGGAGCTAAAATAGTTAGTAGAACATTTTTGAATTGTCTTTCTAATAAAAAAGTAAATAACACAGGTAGGAATGTGAACACTGTTAAGTTCCTACTTATACTATATATAGTCATATCTAATGATGTGAATATGAACCCTGGCCCTGTAGAGCCCAGCACTACTGAGTGTGGTATATGTGATATGACTGTCCACTCAACCGTGACGGCATTTACCTGTATAGGATGTAAAGACTTATTCCACAGTCCCTGTATTAACAATCTTAACTGTGTGGAAATAAACACTACTCTCGATTGGATTTGTGACAATGTGTTGAACACATTTCTCGTTATTATGACTTCCATGTATCTTCTGACAAACTCATCAAGAAATTACTGAAGGGATTGAAATTTGCTCATCTAAATGCTTGAAGCCTTTTAAATAAACTGGACCAAATCAAGATTTTACTGAGAAAAAGGTCATTTGATGTCTTTGCAATAACTGAAAGTAAACATGGTAGTTCTGTGGATCAACAGGATGTTTCCATATATGGATACACTACACACCGTCGAGACAGAAACCGACATGGTGGAGAAGTCATTGTCTATGTGAAAGATTCACTGTCTGCTGATGATGAAAGTTCCAGTATTCCAAATAATATGGAGGTGCTAGTTTTGAACATCAAACTCACTAACTCTTCGTGCATTCGGTGTGTTTCCGTATACCGACCACCAAGTGAAAAAGTTTACTGGTTTCCCCGATTTGATCAGTTAATTGAATCTGTATCAGCACCCGACCAAACTTTAATTGTTATGGGTGACTTCAACATAGATGAACTGACAAACAATAAACTGAAAACTCAAATGAATATTTACGGCTTACAACAAAAGATTGTATTTCCTACTAGAGACTACTACACATTCAGCCACTCTTATTGATCATATTTATACTTCTGATTCATTCTGTTGTAGAAATACTGGGGTCATTCCTTTAGGAGTGAGTGATCATCACTTAGTGTATGCTATTAGAAAACTAAACAAAGTTGATACTTGGATGTTGAGAATCCTTTATTTACACATTATGTTACCCTCATTGCAGGATCCCTAGTGAATACCATTGGGTATCCATCCAGGAACATTACCGCTTTCAACAACTTTAAGAGTGTTGGTTCTCTCTATTCTTTATTTTATTTTTTGGATTTCAAAGTTGTTACTAATAATGAACATGTATATATCAAATTTAGACATTTCAAAAAAGTTAATGTGGATAAACTCAAAGCTGACGTGGAAAAAGTACCATGGTCAGTCAAAGAGGTTTTTGATAACATAGATGATGCTTGGGATTCATTTAAGCAGTTATTTTTCAGTGTCATTGACAATCATCTTCCCTTAAATGAAAAACGTGTCAGTGCTAAAACTTAATTATGGATAAATGATTATTTACTCAGTGAAATGCACACACGTGATTATCTACATGATAAAGCAAGATCATCTCGATCTAGTTCTGACTGGAATTTATATACCTTGGGTAAAGCTTCTTGAAACAGAGTTTTAACAAAAATTAAAAAGGCAAAACGTGATTACTTAGATGAAGCTTTGCTTCAATGTCCAAACAATTCCAAGGATATGTGGAAAAAAATCAAAGACTTTTTGCCATCCTCCAAAGCGAATGGTGCTTCAAGTCTTAATATAGATGGTGAGAGCATAACAGAGGAAGTAGATATATCAAATGCTTTCAGTGATTATTTTTGTAATATTGGCGTTGAAATTGGGAAAAACCTTGACTCAAATTTACCAAATTTAGATAACTCTAGTTCTAATGAAAATAAGTTTTTATCCCCTTAATAACACAAGACTTTGTAAGAAAACAGATCAAAGAGTTACGTGACGGCAAAGCTACTGGTATTGACCAAATGTCCGTGAGATTGCTTAAATTAGCAAGTGAAACAATTGTCGAACCTCTAACATATATTTTTAATAAAGCAATAAACTCGGGATCATTTCCTACAGAGTGGAAAAAGGTGAAGGTGACACCAATATTCAAATCTGGTGATAGGACCTGTGTAAATAACTATAGACCTGTATCTGTTCTCTCTGTTAGTAAAATTTTAGAGAGATGTGGTCATAACTCATTCTATAATTATTTGTCGTCTAATGATTTACTTCAGTGATTCAGCTAGAAAAATGTTGGAATAGATCAATTGTCCGAACCCCATAAAAATGTTTAGGACAAAGATCTGCTGCCGAAGACAGCAGGTGAGGAGCAAAGCGACGAAAGGTGGGTAGGTGTGGGAGGGGTGATATTCCCCCCTCCCGCAGGGGTGGGGTGGGTGGGTGGGTCCGGGGAGCCTCCCCCGGAAAAAAATTCAAATCTAGAAGCTTAAATATGCATTTTCCTGAAGTCTCGGTGTAAAATTAGGGAGAGTAAAAAGACTTCACGGTTCACATTAAAAAAAAAAATTTGTGGCAAATTCAAAAATGCAAGAAGAGTTTCAATTCATTCTTTTAATGATAATTTTTTCTGTAGAGCATTTACGATATATATCTATTTGCTACACTGAATTAAACAAAACCATTTGTATTCGGTTTTGCTATGGTGGACTAAACAAAACCAGTTGTATTCTGTTTCACAATATTTATTTTGCGTCTGAAAAGATCACTCTTTTCTTTGCTTTCTTAAAATTTTCCAACGCAGACTTGAAATTAAAGCTGTCCACGTCCTCCCCCTCGATGCACACCCTGAGGATCATGTCTTTGTGTCTTGGGAAGCAAACAATTTCTCAGGGCAGTAGCTATGATGATCTGAGTGATAAACCCATGTTCACAACCGGAAATTAAAGCGAACTCTGCCAGTTTCATCAGATTTGGACATTCGTCCTTGTGATATTTTGAAATCAGGTTCCACAGTTGATTCATGTTGTCTCGTGATACATTTGAGTCACAACTCTTGCAAAGGCCAAGGATATAATCTGTACCATTTTTCTTAGAAGGTTCATAT